CAATCTTATGCAGCCGCAAAGGTCCCCTTGTGATCCCTGCGATTGCTCTCGTGATTGCTATCGTTGTTAGCGGTAGGTCAGCTTGCAGGAACAGGCCTCCCGGGGTTTACGCCGAACGCAGGGTACATGTGGGTTAGAATGCGAGCCACATTGAAGCGCATTGGTGCTTGGCAGTGGAAAGCGATGACGCAGTCCGAGCACGGGCCCTGGATGTCCATCTTACTTCGCATGATTGCCTTCGAGATCCTTGCGACTATCGCAGCACTGTGAGTTATACTTCACCCGAGTGTGGTGAATTTTCTCACGTATTTGATTCAGGCTCATGTAAGACCCAATTTCTGCTCGCCGGTTACACTCCTAACGCCCGACCACGTAGCATTCTAAGCGTTGCCACTGCGAATCCTGCAGTTCATACTCTCGCTGTCGGTTTCGGTGGTATAAGTGAGTATTCTGGCTTTCACCGTCCCTGCCGCATACTCATGACATGAAGCTCCACTCCTCGCCTTCCTCGTCTTCGGCACTGTTGATGTATGTTGCACAGTTCGCCGATTGTTAAAGTGACACTAACCCCAATAGACCGTGCGGACTGTATGGTTCAGGTGGTGCTTCGATGTTCGCGATTACGCGAAGCCAAAGATCGTCGAGGCCGAAGTGTAGCATGCTGTCAGAAGCCTGTAAACTATTCGCCGTGTTCCCAACCTGTATCAACTAGCCGCACAGAGGTTTCGTATTCTCAGAAGACTGTGTCTGCCATACGGTAGACCAACTTCTCGCCCGAGATCTACAAACGGTTAGCAAGCCAGATAAAGTTCAGATACTCCCCCGGGCCCGTACCGCATGAGTCCTCCCAAGCTCCCAGCCAGCCTCGACGCCGTTCAGACCACCAGACATGATCGTCACAGGGTTTGGTATGAGTTCTCCCCTGTCAAGTAACCCCTGAAGCGCTTCAAATATCTTCTTTCCCACGTCCGGCTGCTCGTACGCGAGTCGCGCGCCAGACGCGATGATCTTGACATGAGGAAGTGGAGATTTCACCGCGCCGAGGACGGACGCCACGACGCCCTTTGACGCCGTAATGGCAGCCGCAGACGCTTCGAGGGATCCGTTTTCCGAGATCGCACTATTCCAGCATCAGCGCACGCGTAATTTGAGATCTCGAGAACACAAACTCGAAGACCAGAGACAAATTCGGTCCCGCCGCTGCCCGAATGTTCGCAACAACGTCAGCTGTAACCCTATTAGCCGCATAGCATAGACAAGCCTATCGATGTACTGACGGGAGTGGTAGTCAAATACTTCTGAGGCGCCTAAAGAGCGCACATATTCATGGTTGGCCGGACTTGCAGTCGAAATTACAGTGTAGCCTGCTAACTTTCCGAGCTGTACAGCTGTGGCCAAGTCCCGAACGTCAAAATGTTGCTACGCGAGTGAGCGCAGTACTTACCGAAGGCACCGACAGAAGAGCTTCCGCCCCAGACGAGGAGAGGTTTCCCGGTTACACGACGATCCGCACCGCGTAAATCGCTCGTGGTCAGAAGGGAGACCCCGAGCGTAGCGACGAGACTAGCTCCAGCTGTCACGTATCCCAAAGGCACAGTGGACGCCTGCTCGAAAGTGTAGTTATTTGGCACCTTCACTGTACGGTCCGCGCTCGAAATGGAATGCGTCTGATATGCGCCATGCCGCGCTGTCTGTCTCGACAGGAATGATAGAACCTACACATCACATGAATCATTCTACCAGTCTGGCACGAATGGAGTCAACGTACCCTATCTCCAACAGCGAAGCCCTTCACGTTCGGTCCCACCTTGACAATCGTGCCAGCGACATCGGCACCGTTCGTCCACGGTCTGTGACTTGATGAGCAACGGGTCTGGACTCGCTTCAATACGAACGTGTACTTACAGCTGTGGAATGCCGGTATCGTACAGAACCTGCTTCCAATCGACTGGGTTCTGCGCGACAGCTACGTTCTCGATAAGGAACTCGCCCGGTCCCAGCTTGGGTTCCGGGAAGTCTAGAATCGTAAGCTTGAAGCTCTTGCGCTGCGTGATGCTCAACGCCTTCACTCCAGTCATGGCTCGTCGTTGTGGTCGTGGTCAAAAGTCAAGTTCGCGGATGGCGACATTCGGCGTGCGAATTCCGAGCATGGACGGGTGCAATGCAGGCATCTATTCGAGAAATCCCAAAGATAGATATGTCAAAGATCGAAAATCCAAGGAGATACAAATGCGAGCCGGAATGAGTGTGGACTGTTCTACAACTGCGATGAGGATGGGCGATGCAGGGCATCAGAGTTTTGCCTTCGGGGGCGTGTAGCTGGTCTTTTGTTGGCATAATCATGAAAGTCGTTTGTAGGAGGGCGTACCTATCAATCAACCCCGAGTTGACGATGTAGGATAGAGTATCGCGAACTGACTCCTCCAGAGAAGTTAGCTTGACGCCGAGAAGCTCGGAGTCGTCGCGAGCGTTGATGAGCTTCACGTGCGCGTCAACGCCGGGCTTGCCGCGCGTGACCTCGAATGGTAAGGGAGCGGGGTTTAAGGCGTGGTATGCGTCAACTGCAAAGGTTAGGTTGGACGAGTCGCGTGCAGGGTCCGCAGTACGCACAATACGCCTGATTAGACGTCGCCGAGTTGTGAATCGCGAGCCGCCGATTCGAGACACCCTCACGAAGAAGGGCCTGAACATGCGCATCGGCATTTGGGCTATATGCGCCGGTCAGGGGTCAGGAGACAGTATGTACCGCGGCGCACCAGGCGCTGAGTGCTGCACTCTCACGTACCGGATATCGATCCACGGGAAGGCGTCACGCGCCAGACGCGTCTCAGGGAATGGATCCGCGTAGCGCTTGAACAATCGCACATTGCTCTCGTTGAGATCCAGGACGCGCTTCTTGGGAAGTATTTCGGGCTTCGAGGGCCGTAAGAAGCTCGTCTAGGGATGTGAAGGGCAGGGAGGGACGTACGCCAATGATGGCCGGCGGAAGGAGGATAACGGCGTCGAATTGGGGTCGCTTGTCGCGCACGAACTCCCATACCGCACGGTCCGCCATAGTTTTGGCAGCGTAGTACTGCACGACGAACGGTGTACGCTTCCCTTCGCGCTTGACCGTCTCGATGGCATGGTCGTTGTACTCGTCCTGACGAATGGATGAATGTATCAGTCACGAAGCCCCGACGCGATCGGCCAACCACCGACTGACTGCAGAGTACATATGCGAGCGATCGGGATTGGGTTGCAGAATGGTGCCTCCGGTCCCCGTGAAGACGATACGCTTGACGTGTTTCCTGTTTCCGCAGACCAGCCAATGAGCGCTGCACGACGTCCAACGTCGCACTCACCCATGGGCGAGCGCGCTACGCATAATCCCAAGCGTGCCGTCGAGAGCGGGACGGATCACATCTGGTTCCCGAATAGGTTAATCTCTGCTGGCCGGCGGCGGGAGAGTCCGCAGCAGGCGTGTGCGCTCACGTTCCGGGTCGTTATCGGGCGCGCCAGGGATGTTGGGCGAGGCGGTGTGCACGATGGCGTCTACATGTCTGCACCCAGGCGTCCGTTAGAACAGCACCCCCAGCGCAGCGCCCGGAGGACGCACCGGACGGGTTCATCAAACGCGCCTTCCTTTTTGGGCGTAGGAGACACGAAATTTCAGTCAACGCTAAAATGAACGCGATTTGCCACAACGACGACCTACGACGCAGATATCGGGGACGACGACGAGGCGGAAGCGGCCCTCTCTAACTTCACGCGCGAACACGGCCTCGAGGTCCTTGCCCTTGCCGGCGCTGCGTACGACGCCGTGCACGGTGAAGCCAGCGTCCAGGAGTCGGCGCACGATCCACGATCCCACGAAGCCGTTTGCACCTAGGCAGAGGAGAGGAATGTCAAGGAAGCTGACCCTGAGGCATGGCGTGTCGGACGGACCTGTCACGAGCACGGTAGCTGGCGGTTGAACTGCAGGCATGTCGAAAGCAGCCTCAAATGAACGAACGACGTGAAAGCGAGTAGCAGGCGATAGTAATGTGACTCGAGGGTGCCAAAACAGCAATGTGCCCAGCAGCGAGCTCGCGATATAGCCCGCGGTCGAGAGGTGGGCGGCGAAAAGAGGTCCAAGCTGGTTGCGCAGGGAGAAGCACTGATATACGCGCTGCTGCAAACGGGTATTTGAATTGGAGCTATGACCCCCGGAAAAAAGAAGACGCTCGTTCACGCGGCTGAGCTCGGCGCCTCCGCTGCTTGCGATCACTTTCCGGTTTCGTGTGCGGATCCGGATGGATATCACAGGCAGACATGTGCGAAAGCCTGCGAAAGCGTCAACCGGTCGTTGTTCCTGAGCTCGAAGACTTGCAACCGTGCAGACGGAAGAGGCATCGGGTTCAAGTAGCGACTTGCGGAGGAAGCGAAGCCGTGATTGCTGCCGGCACACGCTTATTTCACCGGCGAGCCGCCGTCGTTGGAACTCGGACTTGCGTTTGCAGTCCCCGACATGGAGCCTCTCTCTGCGTTACGGCGTAGGCGGTCTGTAGACTTACCTCCCCAAAACTCCAGTCTCGCCATTGATCAGATTCGCTGATGTGCACAAGCGGACGTACCTTCTTAGAACCATCTACGCACGCTCGGCTTCATCGCCCTCCAGGGAACAGAAGCGAGAAGGACTACGTGCTCTCTTCACGATGGAATATTCCGGGTGGAATACACAAGTGGACCCATGCCTGTTGCACCAATGTTTGCCACAATCTGCACCAAATCGCTCGAGAGGCGTAGTCAATGAAGACCGTCACGGCTGTGAAATCGGCCAAATGAGACGCTTCCGAATGGCCTGTCAACGCATGTGCAGCTGGCGCAAGATCACTGTCTTCCTTTCGCGACCACATGAATTCAAATCTGCACGTGTACGTCTTTGGAGGATAATACATAGTCGGAGCCAAATAAAAGGAGACTTTCTGTAAATTGTGGGACAGTTGGATACTCTCGCGCAACAGATCGCAAAAGGTATTTGTCCCCAGCGTGATTCGAACACGCGTTTGAACGGATGTGTTAGACCACAACGTTCCGATCTAACCACTAATCTATGGGAACAGATGAGCATCTGTTCGCCGGTACATACATAATGCACTCCTCTTGCTTCCCGTCAGATCACCCAAAATTGCATATGCTTTTGTTACTACAATGGTGCTGTGCCCCTCAGTTTTCTAAAATTAGATGTAGGGCGCGCGCGCCTGTCGCTCGGAGAGAGTTCTGATGTTGCTCTGAGGAGCTATGTACACCTTTCAAGAAATGTCTTCACTGCTGTGACTCCGCGTGCATGCTCTACTTCTTCGTACCACCGAAGTGCGCGTTGCGCTCTATGACTGGCAATTGCGTGCTGATCTCTCTGCCAGGCTAATCGAGCGGCATGTAAAGCCAAATCTGCGAGCGTGGGCCTAAACCCGAAGCGCGTGACGGGAAGGACGAGCGCGTCGAGTAGGTTTTCAGACGTTCCGTCGCCTGGAAGAACCTGCGCAAGTCGTGCTAGAGTCGGAACCGTGTTCACCTGAGCCGCGAACTTGCGGAAGATGGCCGCCGCGACGATGCAGCAAGTTATCGCCTCGCCGTAGTTGTCCTCCGCTTGCTCGACGGCTGCGAGGACTTCGAGGATTTTACCTTCCATGAAGAGCATCTCCTCTGGGTTCGTCAACCGATCCTCGCCGCGGGCTGTTATCAAACCGGCGTGCAACGCTCCTCGCGCGTCAGCCAAATCGCCGAGTGCAAACGACACCTCCCCGCGAGTCAGAAGCACGCGTGCATGGCGATTAGGACTGTCGTCGCAGGATATGATAGCCTGTTCAGCGCGATGCAGTGCCTCAAGAGCCGCCTCATCGTTCCCTCGAGCAAGCTGGGCCGTCACGAGGCAGTGGAGTGCCCAGACCTCCTGAAAAGGTACGCGCTGTTCGCGAAAGATGCGCGCAGCGGCTTGCAGTTCCTTGATAGCAGGTCCAAGATCTCCGCTTTGCGTCAGCACGCTCCCGAGTAACGTACGCGCTTCGCCTAGTCCAGTCTGGTACTTCGACTCCTCGAAGAGCGGTATCGCCTCTTTCAGCTGACCGACGCCGCGGGTAATGTTCCCAGCATCGATGCTGAAATCGGCCATGTACGCGAGACTGTGGCCAATCATGCGATTGTCGGGATGCTCGAGAGACCGTTGAACATTCACGACCTGCTCTTGACATTCGTACGCCTCGTGCTTCCTGCCCGCGCGGTAGTACGCTTTCGAAAGTTTGTGTAATGCCGATACAGTGCGATTCGGCTTCCCGTAACTCTCCGCCAAGAAACGCATCTCCTGACACGACGCGATAGCCTGCTCGGGCGGGAGATAATTGGAAAGCTGCGCAGTCGTGTCAAGAATTCCTTCGACGTCGTTAACGCGCTTGAACAGCTGAAGCGCCTCTGTCCAGAGCGCCAGCGGATCGCCGCTGGTCACGGAGCGGAATGCGAGGTTTGCCCACAAGTAGAGGAGTCGACCCGTGAGGTAGTCCAACTGCGCGTTCCGTGCAGCGGTGAGAGCGCTCTGGAGAGGGGCAGTCGACCCAACACCGGTGTCGGAAAGAAGATCGAGAATGCACGTCGTGGCTGTTACGGCCGCCTTAGGGTCAGGCGCATGGTTGAGCGCATGCTGCACGACGCAACACAGATTCTCGAGCTCTGGAGAGACAGCTTCGATCGCTGCAGCGACAGCCGTCGACACAGGGAGCCCTTCCTTGTTGATGAGACCGGCGATGCCAAAGTAGTGGTCGTAGAGGGGTGCGAGTACAGCGTCGCTCGGAGCGTGATGGAGAAGCATGTACTCCCTGATTGGACAAAGAACTCGTATGCGGTCGTCCACGGTACGAACAGCAAGTGAGGTTCGAAGGAGACAAGACAGAGCACTGGCCGGATTGGCCAGGTTGGATGCGATGAGGTTGATATCGGACTGGCTGACGCCCTGCGGTAACAGGGAGAGGAGACTCAGAAGCGTGACTGCCTCCGGCTGCTGAACCATCCGGGGCGATGTCAACGAAAGGCGGATCGAGACATCCAGGCTCATCAAGCGACCAGTGTCGTCACTTCGTTGGAGCATGGAAGTCTTCAAGGTTTGCCAACGACTAAGAAGCTCTCGGGAGGACTCGTAAGACGAGAGATTCGCCATAAGCACGAGCGCAAGTGGGATGTTGTCGACGAGGCGCAGTAGTTCAGCAGATTCAGTATCGACATCTGAGACGTCAGATAGCGTAACGAAGAGCTGCGTAGCAGAACTATCGTCCAGAGGTCCGAGAGGTGGCAGCAAAGGCTTCGTCCACGAAACACCTTGAGGTCGTTCGGAACCCCGAAGAGTAACAATCACAGACAGCCCATCGACACTAGCCAAGAACGAGAGAGCTTCTTCGGCGTCTGCGCGGCTGGACGGCGCCTCCCACGCAGAATCAAAGTTGTCGAGTACCAACACAGACGCGTCTCCGCCGAACTTCAACATGAGGGCCTTCTGCGCGGAGCTCCGACTCTGGTACACAATCCCGAGTGCGCCGCAAATGATAGTAAGACACGTCGACTGTCCTTCTGCAGCGTCACACGAGACGAAGTACCGCCGTGAGTCGAATCGCATCGCGATGGCTGGCTCATGCAGAACAGCAACAGCGAGCGACGTCTTTCCCATGCCGGGTCCACCAAGGATCGCGAGAAATGCAGGGACGTCCCGATCGAGCAGGTCAACAGCGGCCTCAGTTTCCGCCGAGCGACCGAAGTAGAACTGGGCAGCGGGAGGAATGGACGGAGCTGACACATTCTCATCCGTAGCAGGAACGACCACCTCAGGAATGAGGGTTCCCCACGCGCGAGTGATAATATTTAGCTGCTCCTGGGCGTTGATATGCGCGCGTAACTGCAGCGCAAAAATGTCAGCTATGCGACAGTAAGACCTGGGCAACGGACCTTCAGAATGTCGAACGCCTGCCGCAACTGAAGGGAGAGGTCCTTCAAGGTCTGCGCGTCGCGATCACGATGCAAAAATTGCGCCAGGTAGCTTTGACGGTTCTGCTCTTCAAGCGCGCGCTTCGTGTCTTCCAAGGCTCTGGGAATGCGATATGGGTCAGCTTACGTCTCGCCTGATTACGCGCTCACTCACGCGCTGAAATTCTCGAGTCCAGAGCGCCATGCGGCAGGCACGCCCTTGTCCGCCGTCTCCAGCTCGGCGCCAACGACCGCGACCAACTCGTTCGCGCGTCTCGAGAGCGCGACGGCTGCGTCACTGTTGAATCTAACATTCTGCACGCGTACACACTGTCAATGTCGCTCACAAGCGCTGCACCGTACGCACACACCTTCGCCGATTCCGCAATGACCGAGGCGAGACCAAAGAGCGTACGCGAGATGCCTTCGCCTGCGATGTCGGCGACGTTGCTTGCTGCAGTCAGACCGAGTGCGAGAGCCATGGGAGTGAGGGAAGCGGGGCAAGGGATTTTGCGTTGTGGATCCCGGCCTATCTAGCAATAGGCGCAATTCGTCCGCATCACCCGGTGATCAGCAAACTTTGACTCGCAACACAGTTTCGGGCATTACGCGCCGGGCGTGCCTGATCGCGGCTTTATACGGTACGGACGATGCCTGGACTCCGGATGAAGGGCGAGAAGAGAGTACGTAGGTCTAGGACAAGGGTGGGCGAATTTCTTGCAGTATCATCGGTCGAATCGATATCTCGTTCGCTCGCCTTTGGAACTGGGAGAGCGTTATCCAGTCGTTTCAGATCATGCGCGCGAGTCCAAACGGGGATGGTTGTTCTGCGGATGGCTGTCCAGAAGTGGGAGAGAGAATCGGCGGCGACGAAGTCCGGAGCGGTTGACGATTCCAGCGGTCCGCCAAGCCTTCCCATTACGTCCTTCTGGCACTGCCACATTACAACATGGTCCTCTTGCTTCAGGGTAGACGGCCAGCCTGAGCCGTTTCCACACGCGAGCAGCCCACGAAAGACCGGTCTGGATCCCCGAATGAGCATAAAGCAGCAGGTCGACCTGCCCTGCCGGCGCGCACAGGTTGTAAGAACCGAAAAGCGATCAAAGTTGGATACGCCGCTCGCCACAGGCTGTACACCGGTGCTCTATTGTCAAAGGCGAGCAGCGATACGTTCTACGAATATGGACTCCAGCGGGGCCCGAAGCATGATTGGGCACCACGATACCGCGGAAAGGTGGCGAACGCAGGAAGCAAGTGGGACGCGCTGAGTCCGAATACACTTCTCCTCGGCTCTGAGTAATCCGTCTCAAAAGCAACTTTGGTTGTCAGCCAGCTAATATGATGATGAAATCGTCTGTTATCTCCTCGAGTACTCGTGCGTGCTGAACGGATAGACACGACCTCAACTTTCATGTACAGCGTACGAGTCCTAATCTCCCTGGCACTTGAAGCTGTTCATCTTGTCATTCCAGTTCATGTCCAGCTGCCTCTGCCAGTCCGCGAGAGTCGAAACTCCAGGATTGACGATTGGACCGAACCTAAAGGCCGACGCGTAAGTAAGGTCATGGGCAGCAGTACTGTGATGCGTACCGTTCTCCTCCTGAGCAGTTCGAGCTGATGTAGCCAAAGCACTGTCATGGGCGGCCGGTAGTTAGGCGCTGTAAGGCATGGCAAGAGCACATGTGTCGCACCTGGAGTCCTGAATCCGGTCCAAATGAGCTTACTGAGTTGGACGGGAGTGTGTAGCACCGCCCGATGACCACATTGAGGACATGTGCTATAATGGGATCAGTTTCAAGATCGAACCTGAAGTGGTATACAAACTCTGGGCCCCTCCCTGCAGTCGAGTCAGAATCGCCAATACAAGACTTCGTGTCCAAGACTCACCCAGTTGATGTCGGTTGTATAGAACACCCCAGGACTACGTTTCTGCTTTCGAGTCAACAACCGACGGCATTTTAGGGGAATGCCTTACCTGGAGAGTGGCGTTCGGCGAGGCAGCCGGAGCCGCTTGCGCGAGGGCAGCGAGGAACACTACCGCAAGGACCTTGAACATCTTGCAATGATTTTCACGGAAGTAGCATGCCTCTGACTCTTATAGTAGTTCCTCAAGTCCC